CGAATTTGCAGTAGTAGTTGGCAAAACCCATGAATCTTTGAATGTCCTTTCTGCTCATGGGGGACTTCCAATCTAACACCGCAGAGACTTTAGCGGGGTCCATGGAAATTCCCTCCGCAGAGATGCGGTGCCCCAGAAAGTCCACTTCGTCCAGATCGAAGGCACACTTTTCCAGCTTAGCATAGAGTCCATGATCTCTCAGGCGCTGGAGCACTGCGCGCACTTGTTGCGCGTGATCACGTGGATTCGTGGAGTAGATCAAGAAGTCGTCCAGGTAAATGACCAAAAATCGGTCCAAAAAGTCGCGAAAGATATCGTTGACGAAGTGCTGGAACGTGGCTGGAGCGTTGCAGAGCCCGAAACTCATGACCCTGTATTCAAAACTTCCGAAGCGGGTCTGGAAGGCTGTCTTCCACTCATCCCCTTCCCGAATACGCACCAAGTTGTAGGCCCCCCTTAGGTCCAATTTGGTGAAAATCCGAGCTCCCCGCAAACGGTCGAGAAGCTCCGGGATGAGGGGAAGCGGATAACGGTTCTTGATCGTGATGTTGTTCAACGCCCGATAGTCGTTGCAAAGCCGCAACTCCCCTGACTTTTTCTTGACAAACAAAACTGGGGCCCCAGCCGGCGACTGCGAAGGACGAATGAACCCCTTGCGTAGGTTAGTATCCAAAAACTCCCGGAGAGCCGCCAGCTCTGGTTCCGAGAGAGAATACAATCGCCCACGCGGAATCGGGGCGCCCGGGATCAAGTCAATAGCGCAGTCGTACGGCCGGTGTGGAGGAAGTCTTTCCGCCTCCTTCTCGCTGAAAACATCCCAGAAATCTTGGTATTTGGCGGGCAACTTGCCCGTGGCTTGTGCGGCCACTTCTGCGGTTTGACACTTCCGCTCCACGCCGCAATGTTCTTTACAAGAGACCGAAGTGAACTGTAGTCTTTTTTGAGCCCACCAAATGGTCGGGTTGTGCTTGGCCAGCCATGGAATTCCCAACACCACGGCATGTGGAAGGTCCGTGACCAAAAAGGAGACCTCTTCCACATGGTTCCCGACTCTCATCATCACGGGCGCTGTATAGCGAGCCACCGGCCCGGCTTTCAGCAAACGCCCATCAAAGTTTTGTACATCCTGGGGAGGCTGGAGGTCTAAGCATTGTAATCCAAGGAGCTCCACAAACCGACTGTCCATGAAGTTGTTAGTGGCCCCACAGTCGACCAGGGCGTGCACCGCCGTGGGAGTCTTTTGGGCCACACAGAACGAAACCAAGAGAAAAAACAGCATCCCAGTTGCGGGCTCCAGAAACGGGGTGGAGACCGAGTTTGCGAGCCCAGCTAAACTTGGTCGTTGCCTTCCCCCGCCGGCTGCTCGGCCCATTGTTTGCCGGATCCCTGGGCTTGGGGCGCCACGGGCTCCACTGAGCCGGAGACCCCTGCCAAGCGGGGGCCCGTCTTCTTCTTTACAGGGCACTCCCGAGAGAAATGCCCGCTGCCCCCACAGTACCAACACAGGTTGAGCCGTTGTCGTCGCGCCTTTTCCGCCGCATCAACTTTAGGGCGCAGGGAGCCCAGCTGCATGGGTTCCTCTGCATCGGGCTCACGAGGTGGCGGCGGACCCAAGCGACGTGGCACTCCCGCATCGGCCCCCTTTCGGCCCACTGGCCGAGGCCCAGCAATGATGTGACGTTGATTGGCCATGGTTCCATCTATCCGGATGCATAGGGTCATTAATTCTTCCAAGTCGGCCGGGACAGCGGAACGGGCCACCTCCAACTGCATCTCCTGGGTGAGCCCCGCTTTGAAAGCGCTCATGTAGGCGGCATCGTTCCAAGCCAGCTCCCGCTGCAATACACGAAACTCCGAAATGTATTGGGTCAAACACCCCTCTTTTTGCGTTAGGGCACGCAGCTTACGATCCGCCATCTCCCGGTGGACTTGGCCTCCCCAAACTTTGTGCAGTTCATCCATGAAAGCCTTGACAGTGTTGCACACAGGGGAAGCGGCCTCACGTAGCGCGGTGGCCCAGGAGAGGGCCGGGCCCTCCAACAAACTGTAGGCAAAGCCCACCTTGGCTGCCTCATTCGCAAACTCCGCTTCCCGCACTGTGAGGTAGGCATCACACTGTCCCAAGAAGTCCTTGACCCGTTGACTGTCTCCGGAGAACTTGTTGGGCAAAGCCATAGGAGTCCTTAGTGGCGGAGCCGGAGGGGCAGGCGCCCTTTGCGCTTGCATCGTGGTTATCTGCTGCTGGAGGTCCTGCAGCTGCTGTTGCATGGCCTGGGCATCTGCAGGATTCATTGTGGCTGGGAGAAGCAAGGACTTTGTTGAGTGGTCTGTTCAAACTGTTGCGTCTCAGATTAGCTTCACCTTGCTCTCTGACAAACCAGCCAAGCTTGAGAAGAAAATAGTTTATTGAGGTTTCAAACAAATCCAGGTAAAAGCAGTAAAAGTTTCAAAGTACAAAAGATAGGTTCAATAGGGTTTCTTAAATCAAAGCAGGAACTTGAGGCAAAGGAGCAGGATACATTCCAGGCATCAGCATGAAGTTACAGGAAGCAGGCAATCCCCTCAGGCCCAAGCTCTGGGCCGTAGGTACAGTGATCCATTCTAGCAAAGTTGAACAGACACTGAACCAGCTTTCCAGCAGCATACTTATAGTTGAAACATCAAAACATGAAACTAAAACAATTCACTAACAAGCAATTTTCCCACCAGCAGATGGCCTCAAGATTTGGCCGCAATCCTCCCGCTTCTTCGTAACACCTGGAGCTTGCTGCTCCGACCTTCACCGAGCGTCTTATCAGCCACATTCTTTGGCTGTGAGAACAAGCGTTTCTCTCTAGCTACAGACTGTGGCTGAGAAATCAGGGCACCTGCATCTGTATTCCCATTCCCATCATGCCCACTTGCACTCTCAGACCCATCATGCTGTTGCTGAACCACAACAACCAGTACCTGTACTCGCTTTCAGCTATTCTCTTCATAGTTGGTTGTTTCTTTCTAGGTGCATCTGGTACTGAAAGGCTCGCGGAGGTTGAAGGGCCAGCGGGTGAATCCATATTATGTGCTTTTCTGCAAAATGGTCAGAGCGCCTCCCTAAACTCAAGCAGGGGGCATTTAAACCCTAAAAACGCCTATTGGCCCCCACTATCACATGGTCATCTTGCGGGCCTAAACTACTCCCTATTGGTTACCAGCCATCACGTGTGTCATCTTAGAAAGGGGCCGCAAGGGGCTCAGGCTGTTCATTTCCACATGCCATTCATTGGGGATAGGTCTATCCATGCTATGCTCCACACAAAGGGGGTTAGGGTTAGGGTGGGGGTGGGGTGGGCAGTGGGGTGGGGTTTCAGACCGTGGGAGGGTCTCTCTGACATCCATTTCCTGTTTAGGAGAGGCGGGACTTCAGGGGGTTGGCGTGGGAGGGGCGTGGGAGGGACCTTCCCCCAAAGTGGGCATGTCACCTGTCAAAATTGAGTTTGACGAGAGGTGCCACCTATTACTACTCACCTCTACCTTCTAACTTTTATTTTTCAGTTCTTGGGGTTTTTTTTGGGGGGGGGGGGCAAAATACTGTTTGCTTACACTTGAAAATTACCTAGGGGCAGCCCTGGATATATATGAGATATATGATATATAGCTTTCTAGATATAAGTCAATGGTCAGCAATAGAGGAGATTATATGGGAGAAGTATGGCTGGTCAATGATTGAAATAAATGAAGATAGCTAGATAGCTAGATAGTTAGATAGCTAGATACAGACACAGAGACACACATACAAATATACATATATAGATGAATGTTTCAAAAATACAGACAGGGAAGGAATGGAAAACAGGTCAGATATGTGGGTCACTTCCCTCCTCCTCACCTCAGGTACTCCATTTTTATTATTATAATTATTATATGTGTAGGATCCTCACAACCTCTGAGGATGCTTGCCATAGATGCAGGCGAAACGTCAGGAAAGAATGCCTCTAGAACATGGCCATATAATCCGAAAAAAACCTACAACAACCCAATGTTTTTAATGTTTAGATATGCATATAATGAATTCTTGTCCCGGAATGGAATGTTTGCCGTATATATGCTGTGCTCTGCCCTGAGTCCTCCTTGGGGTGAGAAGGGCGGAAAATAAATGTTTTAAATAATGATAAATAAATAATTTATAGGATTATATAGTAAATAATGTTTTTCTTTTATCAGTGTGATAAATTCCATAAAATGCCAAATGTTACAATTAAATATTAATACTTAAAAAAAACATTCTGCATTCATATTTGTAGGCATTTGCCTTGTTTTTGAATTTGATTATTTTGTGTCATGTCATTGTTAGCTGTCTTGAGTTCAGTGAAAGAAAGGGGGAATAAATATAAAGATGATGATGACAATAGTAATAATAATAATAATAATAATAATAATAATAATAATAATAATCTGAAACCATAATATAGCCATTTTTAATTAATACAATCATTGCACTTATTTAGTTCTCACCTTCCTCTCTTAAGCAAGACTCAAAAATATTTGCAAAGGGAATTCAATAGTATATATATCTCAGCATAGGAGCTTTCAAATATAAGCAAGAGACCTGCATCTCTCACATAAACACATTATGCCAGCATCACAGTAGACTCCTCCTGAGGTCATAATATAGCCATGTATGTATAAAAGTTAGTGTTTGTGGGTTTACATTTACTTTTTTGCAGGGATGTCAGACAGAAAAGTATCTTTCACTTCAATCTCACTTGGGGCTTGATTCAGGAGCATCACAGAGGAAGATTCAGACAAAGAAGAAGCCAGACTGGAGAATGCGGTCATCTTCACTTGGCACAAATTTCACATGAACAATAATTCTTATCATTTTCTTTCTTACAGGACGAAAAAGAAAATCAGAAATATGTCTACCAGAACCTAGGTATGGATGAGAATTTTTCTTCAAATTTGAGCAAAATATGGAATATTCTGGAAGAGATTTTGCCACTTGAACATTCCTTTGCTCACTCACAGGAATCCAGGAAAGTATCTCTGGTGCCTTCCTTCACAGCAGGTAAGTATGTCCCAGTTGGGATAAGGCTGCTTCTTAGACTTTGTCTCCGGAGGGCGTCATTGTCTAAAAGCAGTGCTTCAGGGAAGGAAGGAAAGAGGAAGAAAGGAAGACAGATGCCATCCTTATTTCGGCCTCCAAGTGGCCGAAACTGAATCAAGAGACAAAGCTGAAGACCTATATTCAAGACAAAGCAGTTCCCTGTAGAGAGGAAGCCTACCATGAATGCAAGGGGAACCCAGGGCTCAATAATGGATCGTTTTTCAGCTTTCCCATCTTTTAACCTGGCAATGCAGGCTGCAGCTGGTTGCCTGAATTGGAGCCGAGAAGGAATTTTTCCCCATTGTCCCCAAATTGGCCAAGGGTGGAAATGGGTTTTTTTTGCCTTCTCTGCATTGCCTTCCTCCTGGATTGCTGCAAATATCCTTTGATTTGTAGCTCAGGAGGAGTTAAAAGATCGGTTTTCCCAGGAGGAAGAATGGATCACCTCTTTTTTGTTCAATAAAGCTCATGAATTTATGCTCAATTCATACTAGTGTGTTGTGTTGTTGCTTGATGTAAACATTCAAAGACAAATAAAAAAGATGGCTGCTGAGCAATGTTTTTCAGCCTCACTTCTAATTATACTCCGTGTTAGCAATTTAAAAATATCCCCACCATTCCTCTAAAAAAAATAAACATTTTAAAAAGCACCTGATTTTGTCTCTGCTGTTGAGGAACTATTTAGCACTGTCCTATTAGAAAATACATATGAAAATGGGAAACTTATAAAGAATATTAGGATTATTAAAAACTACATTTTATAGCATTGTTAGGACCATGGAACACTATTTCAGCAGAGGCAATTAAGATTTTTGCACGGTCAGAGCTCTGTACCTGATACACAACCTAACCAAAAACAAATTCTTGGTGTCTTGGTTTTTAGGCCTATTCCTGGGAGTATTTGGAGCACTGATTCAAAAAACTGGAAAGGGATAGACCACAACATCGATTTTTTCATAGAGGTGGCTATCATGGTTTTCTATGGGTTTGCAGGTGGCAACTTGTAGATGCCATATGTTCTGTATCTCAAAAGCTGGTGCTGATACAGGAAAACTAGTGCCATGTTTTGGAATCAACAGGTCAAACAGACCCAGCAAGAGGTCAAATATCTGAGGCACCAAAATGTGTGTTGCCCAGTGATCCAGGTTTGCGCCTTCTTTGCAAAATGTTACCACTTGTGGGTCCCTCATTTCAAGATCAATTTCTACTCACTGTGGGCAATTTTGTTGACAAAACTTTCTTTCAGATTGAGAAAATCCTTTAAAACTAAAATTAAAATGGAATCACAAAAGTCCCATCCCTCATCCCCCCGAAAATTTGTATTAAGGAGAGAAATTAGGAGGCCCTGCTGGACTGCCTTGTCCATCCACCCCAGATAGTCAGGTGACGAATGAGGGGAAAGGGAGTCTAACACTATTTAGAGACAATAGCATGTGTAAAATACCTGATTTAGTCAGACAAATATTACAGCTATTTAGATGAATGTTGCATATATGTAGTTATGTCATATATATATATATATATATATATATATATATATATATATATTTGGGATAGGTACTGGCTTGTTCAGTAGACTCTCCTCTACTGTTCCATTTTGGCGGGAAGCCTTAGCATTGGATGGTTGTGTTGTTAAAGTGCGAAGTATAGAACCCTGTGCAGATGTTCGGTTAATGTGACTTAAGCAACATGCAGTCGTTGAATTCTTGACAGCAGAAGGTGTCACCCAAAAGGAGATTCATCAGAGAATGCAAGCTGTTTATGATGACTGTGTTGATGTGAGTACTGTGCATCGTTGGGCAAGTAAGTTTAAAGATGTTGAGATGGGAACATCTGACTTGCGTGACAAAGAGTTGGACATCCTGTGACAGTAATCACCGGGTTTCACAAGCAAAAGATTGACAGATTGATTCAGAACAATTGTCGTATCACCCAGAGAGAAATTTCAAGCATAATCAGCATTTCACAAGAACGTGTAGGTCACATTATTGCTTTGCTTGGCTATCGGAAGATCTGTGCACAATGGGTACCCAGGATGCTGATGCCTGAAATGAAAGCGCACCGACTTAAAACTTCAGAGACTAGATCTCACCACTGTACGACATACCCCATACAGTCCAGATTTAGCACCATCTGACTTCCATCTGTTCTCGATAATGAAAGAAGATCTGCAGGAACATCATTATGTTTCTGATGAAGACGTTGAGAGAACTGTGAGACACTGGTTGCGGAAACAGAGTGTCGACTTCTTTTGTGATGGCTTCAGAAAACTTGTTCATCCTTGGCAGAAATGTATCCAATTGTCTGGTGATTATGTGGAAAAGTGAATAATGGTAGTTAAAGAGCTAAAACCCAGCACCTCAACCCATGGCTGATACCAAATGAGAGACTGCCCCCGGGCACACAGGAGATTGGGTGACCTGGAAGGCGCTGAACAGACTGTGTTCTGGCACCACAAGATGCAAAGCCAACCTTAAGAAATGGAGCCACAAAGTGGAGTCTACGACATTCAAGTGTAGAGAAGGGCAAACCACAGACCACCTATTACAATGCAACCTGAGCCCTGCCACATGCACAGTTGATGACCTTCTTATAGCAACACAAGAGGCGCTTCATGTGGCCAGCTTCTAGTCAAAGGAAATTTAACATAATGTCAAGTTTTTAACTTTGTGTTTTAAATACATTATAACTGTACCCTTGGTTTGCTTCTGATACGATAAATCCTCAGAGGTTGTGGCAGGATGGAGGAATCCTCACAACCTTTGAGGATACCTGCCATAGATGTTGGCAAAATGTCAGGAGCGAATGCTTCTGGAACATGGCCACACAGCCCGGAAAATTCACAACAACCCATGGATTAGTTTCTCTTCACAAAAATGTAATAGTACCACTGTATTCTTCTTACTATTTTTTTTTAAAAAACACAGTCCTTACTTCTCCAGCTATAAGGAGAAGGGGCATAATAATAATAATAATAATAATAATAATAATAATAATAATAATAATTATTATTATTATTATTATTATTATTATTATTATTATTATTGAGGTTGTACTAATAGTTATTAGTAATAAAATGTAAAGGTTTTCCCTGACATTAAATCTAGTCATGTCTGATCAGAAGCGGTACCTACTGATCTACTCACATTTGAATGTCTTCAAACTGCTAAGTTGACAGCAGCTAGAGCTAACAGTGGGAGCTCACCCCACTCCCCAAATTCACTGACTTTTTGGTCAGCAAGTTCAGTAGCTCAGCTGTTTAACCCACTGCACCACTGGAGGGGGGGGGGGTCCAGTACTTCTTCAAATACCATGTTGTTAAAAATATTCACAGTTTTGTTAAATTGTTATAATTCTTAGTAACACTTTACACATTATGTACTCTGTTTTGTGGAAGTCAGTGGTCTGCCTCAAGATATAGGATGACTACTAAGAAGCCTAAGGAATGAGTCCAAGGCCGGCCAAAGACATTTCGTTGCTATGGGTGGAGCTGCAGATGACCCAATTTATTTTGGCAATTTTAGCAGAAAAAACAGTAGCTTCTAGAGACTTCCTGGAACAGATGACCACATATTCCGAAAGGAGAGGTGTAGTAATGGGAGATTCCAGCTATCTTGATATTTGTTGGATATCTGTCAATTTCAGGTTCAGTGATATAATCATCATCATCATCAATCTTTATTTCTAGACCTCCCTCTCTCCCCGAAGGGACCCAGGGCAGTTTACACACAAAAAAGACAAGCATTTAATGCCTCAGGTGAGTACAAACGCATCAAAATAATACACAATAAGCACCGTAAAAACAGTGAGCTTACAACAAAGAATTAAGCATTGAGATGAAAAATAAAGCAAAACAATCCAATAAGACATACTTAACTAAGACATAAGTAAACATTGTAACAAATACCCTAAAATCAATTTAAAATACAATTACATTAAAAATGGCTGGCACCGGTGTTCACTGAAAATGTAATGTGGCAGCCATATAGTGCAAGTGGGACTAGCCAGCATTCCAAATGGTTAAAGTGTCTAAGTACTCCTCCTTTCCATATGCTAAAGTGCATATGTGCAGTTTTAGAAGTTTTTTAAAGGAGAGGAGGGTAGGGGCTGTTTTTACTTCTTTGGGGAGGGAATTCCAGAGATAGAGAGCGATTGTGGAGAAGGTCCTCTCTCTTGTTTCCACCAACCAAGCTTGAGACAGAGATGGGACCGAGAGGAGGGCCTCCTCTGTTAACCACAGTGTATGAGATGGTCTGTATAGGGAGATGCGATTGGACAAATAGCCTGGACCCAAACCATTTAGGGCTTTATAGGTAATGACCAGCACTTTGTATTTAGTCTGGAAGCAGACTGGCAACCAGTGGAGCTGCCGCAGCATGGGAGTCATCCTCTCAGTTAGCAATCTGGCTGCTGATCTCTGCACTAATTGCATCTTCCAAACCATCCTCAAAGGCAGCCCCACGTAGAGAGCATTGCAGTAGTCTAAACAGAATATGACAATAAAAAAAAACCAATGTGAGTTACATCAATAGAAGTGTAGTCTCTAAAAGGAATGAAGTTATAGTACTACCCTATTCTGATTTGTTTAAATCGCAGGTATCCAGTTCTCAGCACTACAGTTCAAGAAAGATATTGATAAGCTGGAATGTGCCCAAAGGAAAGCAACCAAAATAGGAAAAAGGTCTGGAAATCATGCTCTGTAAGGAGCAAATTGGGGAGCTGGCCATGTTTAGCTTGAAGAAGAGTAGGTTGAGAGGAGATATGACTATCATATCTGAATATTTGAAAGGATGTCATATTGAGGAAGGGGCAAACTAGCTGTTCAGACAAGGGCCCTCCAGGTGTTTTGGACTTCAGCTCCCAGAATTTCTGGCTATTGGACAAGCTGGCAAGGGCTTCTGGGAATTGAAGTTTGAAACATCTAGAGGGCCACATGTTTGACACCACTGCTCTAGAGTCTAGGGCATGGAGCAATGGATTCAAATAGCAGGAAAAGAGATTCCATGGAAACATTAGGAGGAACTTCCTGATGGTGAGAGTTGTCCAACAGTAGAATATGCTGCCTCTGAGCATGGTGGAGTCTCCTTCTCTGGAGGTTTTAAAGCAGAGGTTGAATGGACCATCTGTCAGGAGTGCTTTGATTGTGTGTTCTTGCATGGCAGGGGGTGGGATAGAATAGCTCCTGTGGTCTTTCTCAACTTTATAATTCTATTTAATTTTGTTTTACTACCCAGATACCTGATGTATGGGGGTAGTGGAAGTTGCAATTCAAAAGATCTAGTTTAGAGTATTGCATTTTAGATTACAAATATAGCCCCCCCCCCAACCAGCATTGCATGTTATTGGCAGTAACAAAATCCAAAACCCTTCCCAGATGTCCAATACATAGACAAAATGATAGCTGTAGTCCAAAGATCTGGTAGTCATATCACAGATAAATGTAAATTCCATTTTGCCTCTTAAGAAGAATTTGGCAGAGGCTTATTTA